GGGGTAATTTTTGCAGTAGGGACACAGACTGCAAAAAAACCTGGCAGGGATACTATTCCTTTATTCTCCCCACTTTGTTTAAAATGCAATAAAACTTTTTGGCTAGAGTTTAACCCTGCAACCCACACCTATTTCATTCAACTGTCAATTGCTAAGGTTAAGTGGGCTCTCATCGTTGATCATTGAAAGACCAGGGTTGGGCTTAATCTCAGCATGGGTTTGAGTGAAGGCTCCATTTACCTCCGGGACACAGGAATCAATCTGAAGGCTTGAAAGCACCACAAGGTTTGTTTTATGCTTCACCAATGTTGTTACCTTTAGAAATGTTGTAGAGCATTTCAGGGTCATTGGGATTTGGGCTTGTGTTGATAGGATCAGTCTGACATCAGCTTAAGATGCTTCTCAGATCATCTAGAATTCATTGACGGGTGCATTTGACCTGCAGTCGACTTCCTTCTGACCTGCTTCAAGTAGGTTTTGCATTCCCATAGATTTGTCTGGAAATGCAAAACTTGCTTACAGCAAGCAAAAGCCCATCAACACAGACTCTGTTAGGCTTCCTTCACACTTTCCACTTGCGTTCTTTTGCAGAGATCTGTCTGCATTTCTTTTAGGCTAGATTCTTTGTTTATGCTTCTAGATGCTTAAAGTGACGCACATTTATACACATACAGTATGCATTTAGATGCAGCTGTCTTTTGTCTGTTGAAACAGTCCATTGGAGTAGCCACTGAGATGCATTTTGGGGCTTTTAGAAGTTCAAACCAATTCCTGGATGCACCTAACTTCAATTTTTTTTCTGACTGCAGATAAAAGCATCTAAACACATTTGAATAGATCAGTGGGAAATCATTAGATGCAAATACAGTATGTGTGTGTGTTTTAAAAAACACATCTAATCGTGCCTAGTGTGAATGTAGCTATACAGCTTTCAGTCTGTCTTCTTGAAGTGTTGGTAAATAGGAAGGTGTGCGCAATGCTCACTTTGCCTGTTTCATATTTGTTTTGTATTCCACTTCTGGCAAATGTAGTGAGTCAAATGCATACGGTGTACACAGTTGGTAATTTATTTCATAGATGTATGAGTCAGATTTACATTTTCTCTAACAAAAGGTGCAAATGTAGACAAGAAAGACAAGAGCACATGTTATCACAAGTAAATAATTTGTGTGCCACATTAAATGCTGATCTTCATCACAAGATGGCAGCAAAACATTACAAATGCATATACAGTATATACTCTATCAGGGTTATTCATAAAAGGGTGAAGAGTCTGGAAAAGACAGGAGAAGAGAACAATGTAGGACAGCATAACTGATTGGGAAACATTCTCCAATTCAGCTCACTTTCCAGTTCAGCTATGTTGTCCTAGATTGTTCACTTCTCCTGCCTTCTCCAAACTCTTCACCCTTTTGTGACTAACCCTGTATATCTATCTTTGTCTATCTATATACAGTCATAGCCAAAAATATTGGCACCCCTGCATTTCTGTCAGATAATGCACCACTCTGCGCAGAAAATTGCTGCAGTTACACATGTTTAGGCATTCTCATGTTTATATTGGCATAATTGGCATAAATAACAAAATTAACAGCTTTTTGACAAAATAAAATGACAGCTTTTTGGCAAAGCCCATCATTCTACTGTTTTCAGAAAAATAAATAAGGCCTTTAATGAAAAAAAATTCAGTCCCTACAGTCACACATGGTGGAGGTTCACTGATGTTTTGGAGTTGCTTTGCTGCTTCAGGCACTGGATGTCTTGACTGTGTGCATGGCATTATGACAACTGAAGACTACCAAAGAATTCTGGGGTGCAATGTAGGGCCCAGTGTCAGAAAGTTGAGTCTCCATCAGAGGTCGTGGGTCTTAAAGCAGGACAATGACCCAAAGCACACGTCAAAAAGCACCCAGAAATGGTTTCAGACAAATCGCTGGAGAGTACTGGACTGGCCAGCAATGACTCCAGATCTAAATCCCATAGAGCACCTGAGGAGAGATCTCAAAACAGCAGTTGGGAAAAGGAACCCTTCCAATCTGAGAGACCTGGAGCAGTTGGCGAAAGAAGAGTGGTCCAAAATTCCTTTAGAGAAGTGTAAGAAACTCTTTGATGGTTGCAGGAAGCGATTCATTTTAAGTTATTTTATCCAAGGTCTGTGCTACCAAATATTAATTGAGGGTGCCAATAATTTTGTCCAGTCAATTTTTGGAGTTTTGTGTGGAATGTGTCAGATTTGGCTTTTTTTTCTCCACTTTTTTGTGTCATACCAATATACAAACAAAAGAAATAAACATGAGAACGCCTAAACATTTGTAATTGCAACCATTTTCTGCGCAAAGTGGTGCATTATCTGACAGAAATGCAGCGGTGCCAATATTTTTGGCCATGACTGTATATCTATATTCTGTCTACATAAAAGTTTCCAACCATGTAATACTTTACAATAGCAAACGTTTCCATCAACTTTCTGCTGTGTCTGTTTAACCGTTTCACCTCCAGATTTTTTAATTGTTGCAAACACGTTAAAATCTGAATTGTTAGCTGGAAAAACATTATATATTTTCTGAAAGCAGAGACCCCGATGCAATTTTTCATGTCGCACAATATCTGCACAAATATCAAATCGATATTTGTAGGAGAAAATATACTAAAATCAATTTTAGTGCACACAAACACAATATAATACCCAATGTATTGGTAAAATTAAAAAGATGGGGTTGTGTCAGGTAAATAGCCTTAAAATTGCACCCGCACGCGAAATGGCAAAAAACTACGGTGCCTAAAAATGCCCATTGGCAAAGGTTTAAAAGCCTTTATTGCATATCAGTTTAGAGTTAACAGTGAGTGATGGCTCTTTAATTTTTACATTCACTCTGATGTTTGCAATGATATGTAATGTGTGGCACAATCGTTGTTTTTGCATGTAGGGGTGGAGGGCTTTTTTATTTTTTCTATGTCACTATACACGTGTTGTTATTGCTATCCCTTAGGGGGCTAACAAGCCCATGTATGTGATAGCACAAAGGGAGTGACTGGTTTTCTTTGTGTAGACACCAAGGGTCTACTAGACCCCTAATGTCACCTCTGAACACCAAAGAAGCGGATGAAGCACGGATTGTTCTCCACCAGCTTCTTCTCCGGGCCACAGCAGCTGGAGAAATGACAGCCTCCGGGTCGAGATTTGTGTACTTAGTCTGAAAGTGTGCTAATTTCTCTCTGATCCAGCCACCAACATCCACTATGGATGGAGAGCGCAGTACGAGAACAGCTTCTGTGATCTTGGTAAAACCACTTCAGGACCTCAATATGTATATAAACGGCACAGTCCTGAAGTGGGTATGCCAAGTTTAAGTGAATTGGTTAATGTAATTGCTCTGTGATGTATGAACAATCACTATTAGTGATCTTGAAATGTATATTGTTTTTAATCAGCAACACATCCCAGGTAAAAACTAACCATATCTCACCCTAACTTATCTCACACTACAAATCATTCTAGCAGCAAGGGGCATTAGCATTAAGCCCGTCACCATGCGTCATAGTCGTCCTTTAAAGTTAAACTAAAGTGTGCTGCAGGTCCCCAGGCTTTTGCAATAACATGCAATTATGCATGGCATGATTTCTGGCAGATTTATATGCCAAAGAGACCCCCTCCAATGCTACAACAACCTCAATCTACCTTGTTACTCCTTCAGTGCTTCTGGCAGAAGAGAAGCTACGGAGTCCTTTCTGCACTAAAAGCCTTCCTAACAGTAATATTATTTTTAAATACTATAAATAAAATGGATACAATATGCAGATCAGTTGCGTTGGCTACATTTGCATTAATTGGCATTCATTGGCATTGACTTCGATCAATGACCATTTTTAAAAGGAGGTCAGCAATGTCATTACAGTCAGTGCAGGTTTCTTTTTAAACTGCACCTTAACTCGGAAGATTTACTATATCATAGTGCACTTCTTCATGTGTGAGAGTGCCTAGGGACTTCTGTATCTACAACCTCATAGCTATATACTGTATCTGCTGTGTGACAGTCTTGCTTGTGACTGCTAGTGACTTGATGATATCGCTACTGTGCTGAAGAGGATTCTGTACCCTGAGGATGTGCATTGATTGCTTCTGCTTCATTCATTCTGTAGATCTGTGCTTCCTACACCCCTCCTACTGTCTCTTCAATATCCCCCCTAATGCTACAGAGACATTGTAAGTTGGTAGCTTAGTGGTTGGCACTTCTGCCTTGCAGCACTGGGGGTCCCCGGTTCCAAACGCAGTTAGGACACTGCATCTCCATGGAGTTTGCATATTCTGCCTGTGCTTGTGTATGTTTCTTCTGGGTACTCAGGATACCTTCCACACTCCGAAGATACGCTTGGTAGATAACTGCCTCCTGTTTAAATCAGCCCTTGTATGTGTGTGCATGTATGTATGCATGTGAGATAGGGACCTTACATTGTGAGCTGCTTGAGAGCAGGGACTGATGTGAATGTACAGTACTGCGTAATTGTCAGCGCTTTATGAATACCTGTAATAAATAATAAATAAAATAAGTTAATAGTGGGGTAAAGATCAGCTGCAGGAAACCTACAAGCAATACAGATAACTAGTCCTATGCCCTCTGCTTGCCGTTTTTGTGCACAGCTTCCAGGTCCACTTTAACGAAAAAATACAAATTAAAAACTAGAAGCTTTTCTAATCATTTTGTATTTCAAAATTTACAATACAGTTTATTATGTTAACAATGGCAATCAGAGAGAGTCCAGAGAAACTGCTAATGTGTTGTAAGTATTGACTTCCGTTCACTAGGTGGCAGCAGAGCATTTCATGTAAGAAAATACGAACCATTATAGGCCTAAGCGCTATAAGTAGCATGCTCATGACATCCCAAAATAAAATTGAATAAATTACACTATTCCTCTTTATAAATGTAAAAAAAATATATATTAGCAATTCCCATTAGTAGTTACATTTTCCTGAATAATTTATTTCTCTTTTCATATAGCTCCAGGTTCTGGAATTTCTACATTGGATGGGGACTTTAAACCAACTCCACAGGACAGGAGCAGAGACAAGACAGAGGGAAAACACACCATGAATAAACCTGTATTAGTCTCTGCCCCATCTTCTCTAACAAGACGAAATGATACCGTTTCTGCTTCAGAAGCACAGTCCTTTTCTGAGACATATAGCCCTGAGGTAATTACAGTGTTCACAACTGTATGTGTCTTTCTGACTGCAGAAAATGCTTTAATTAAAACCATTTCCAATTTCCACATTGTTTTTGAAAGCCCGCAGCCATAACAAATGGTCCCTGGCCTCAATATGAGGAGCAACGTTGTAGGTATTAGATGAGAACTGTATACGCCTGATGAGTGCTAGAGAATCCTCTCTTGGCATAATTTACAAGAATAAAGAGGATTTTAATTTTATGGCTATGTTCCTAGTTATTTATAGTGATATATTGTGTGCATTTGACTTAATCATTTGTCATTTGAGTATATCTATTTACACATTTTAGGATTGTGACTTAGGCTCTTGTTTGGCTTCAAAGATTTTTCAGAGTTAAGCTGGCCATACACTGCTTGAATTTGACAAAAGTTGTTTGAAAATGGATCTAGTCCAAAAAATCTCATCTCCACAGCTGCAGTCACTGTTTGGGTATTCTGGTGGCCGTATACCCACCACTGTCAGAATACCATAGCCCAGTGGGGGGATTCCCCCATCCATGCTGTTTAGTGTGGATGGGGGAATCAAGATTTTTTTTTCTCATCCAGTGCATCGCCAGCTATAGCAACACATGGGACCAAATTTCCAAAATAAATGTCTGTATATTTTGGTTAATGCTATCACTATATTGCCTAATCTTTCCATTCTGCTTGTCTAGTATTTGAATGAATATTGACAGTGTGGGGGAGTCATATTTACCCCACACACAGGATACCACCCAATAATCACCACCTTAAACTGTTTTAAAAGTGTGCTATCATCAGCATATCTGCTAAGTAGTTCACTTTTCAACTAGACACTACTGTGCTGCACAATCCTACCGCAAGCCCTTTTGTCTGGAATCTGGTCATCTGGAATGCACCTAGCAGTGATGCTGGACCCCAAACTTGCTCCCCGTCATGCATATAATGCCTAATATACAAAAATTACCATTACTAAGACTTTTTTAACAACCTCTTATCAAATTCAAATGTGACTTGGAAGTTTAAATTTTATTGTTGATACAGGAAGCAGAGATCTATGGAAGAAGTTATACAACACAGGATTGAGGAAGTACACTCCTAATGTCCTCGCTATACGTAGTCTGTGCTACATAGGATTACACAGATTCCAAATTAAAGTGACACTAAACTCAGGAGTTAAATGTTAAAAAATACATTCAAGTACCTTAACTATTAAAAAACATTTCTCTTATTTGTTTATCACTCGGCTGTAGATAATCAGATCATCTCTGAATTGGTGCTGACACTGTCCTTCCTTCTGGAGGGTGGCTACTTTTGTTCACCATGGTCCCTGTGTGTGTTGTAAAGTAGCCATCGCTCCAAACTCACTCCCATGATGGACTACGATCTCACTTTTAGTTTACTAATTGTATTAAGATTATAGTCCATCACACACAAGGTACAGCATTAATTTTTATGGTACATGACTGAATTTTTAAAATGCCACTTTAAAGTACAACTAAAGCCAACAACTTTTTTTTATTTTGGATGGAGTAGAGGAGGGCTGTAACTCTTGTCAGTTCCCTCCCATCTGTGCCCTATCAGATAGATTTCCCTTCACTTCCTGTCTCATGGCCACAACAGGACGTTGTCTCTAAAGTGAGGGAAATCCCCTCTTAGACAGTTATAACCTGAACTAGTATCCCCATTGGCCTTGTTTTGGTGACTCGAAATTTGGGATTTTCTTACACTGTCACTCGCCGTGATGATGTTCGCCCAGACAAATAGAGAGGGCAAATCTGTAGCTGTATAGATGGAGTTGCACTTTAACCCCTTCACTGCCACAAATGTCAGTACTAAGCCCTTGGCAGCAGGGAGCTGTAAACGGACTTCCTGCTGCTATGAAATACTCTGATTGGGGATACTTGTGATTGAAATACTTGTTTTATTGGAGTTCTCCATTTTGAGAAGGACTTCTATAAAAGCTGAACTTTGAGTAATGGATACCAATAACTTTTGGATTCCTCCTATAAGGATATATTATTAGTATCCTAACAATAGACTATATTAAGTTACCCAACAGGAGACAAGGACTATGGGGATTATTAAGATATACCATGGCTTATAAGACAATGCATTTGGTCCTTCTATAATTATGATTTCATATTTTTCAATAAATGATTATGTTTTTGTACTATTTGATGCACGGTGGCCATATTTGCATGAGTGTGGAATGCGTTAGTAGAGTCCTTAAACAGAGAGAGTTAATAATAGTCAATAATGAGGAAAGATCAACTGCAGGGAAGCCACAGGCAGTGTCTAGTTCTCTACCCTTTGCCTTCCTTTTTATGAGCACAGCTTCTTCAGTCCCTGTTTAAGAAGTTGGCAGTCTCCAAAACTGGACTTGGTTGACCTACCCTTGTATCAAGCTACAACTTAAATTTTGGCAGCAAAGCCCTCTTTTTAATTTTCCACAGACGCAGAGAGCTTTGAAGAGTATTCAAATTAAAGAGGTGTGTACATGGTTAGGAGAATTAGATGATGATTCATATTTCTTAGCAATTCTAAAAGATGTACTTTACCAATAATAGTTTGATATCTTGTATATAGATAACAAAACAGTCTGAATAGTAGGAACTCTTCAAGATTTAGTAGGCAATTGTTTTCTATTATAACGTGATAGGTCATTGCAATTACAGCTATTCCAATCATGACTCAGATGCACTTGCCCCTTTTGTATGCAGCAATCAGCAAAGCATAAATTAGGCATCAATATCAGAAACTGAATATACATAGAAAAGAGAAACCATTATTTTGCAAATATACCCCGCTTGCTTATTCAGAGTAAAAACTATTTGATCGGTGTGTGTTATACATTTGATAAAAGCTTATCAAGTTAATTTTAACCAATGTAGGTAGTTAAGACAGAGATACATTACACACATGTGAGCACAAGTTAATTTTAACAAGTGTAAATGGTTGCAGCAGAGATAAATTAGGTAAGATAAGCATTATGTTTTTGGCAACCCGTCTTTTGGGAAGAGGCATATATATATATATATATGTTTCTTTATTTATTTTATAGCTATCCTGCACGTAGGGCTAGTCTCTCACACCTCTACTTGTGTTAGATTACAGGTTTCCTTAAAGAAGAACTCCAGGCAAATCAAATCCTAACCCTTGCAGTGGGGCTACCCCCCACACTGCAAGGGTTAAGTGCTTTTTTTGTCTAGGGAGCTAAAATTAAAAAAAATTCTACTACTCTGAACTGAGATCCCTGCTTGCTCTTAGACCGGTCCCTACCACCTCACTCCCTCACTGCTCCAGCAGCCTAAGGTCCTGTGAATCATCATGTTCTGTACAGTGTATAGAACCAGAGGATGCAGAGGGACATTCCATCTCTGGTGTAGGAGCCAGATGGGATTGCAGTTTGGGTGAGTATAACTTTGTTATTTTAGCTTCCTAGACAAAATAAGCAATTAACCCTGTAGTGCGGGGGTAGCCCTACTGCAACGGATAAGATTTTAATTGCCCATAGTTCTACTTTAACTATACAAATATGGCTACCTGACTCTTTTCTATCTGAAGTGTTAGTTGTCTATTGCATGCTTGTAAACAAATTTGACTAGTCTGAGGAGTGTTCTCGCTAGACATTATTTTCAGGTGGGTGAGGTGAAAAAAGTAGCAGGGTGGTAAAAAAAAAAAGAAGCAGTGTAAAATTACTGTAATGGTGGAAACCTTGTGCAAATGGTTTCAGACCAATCTTTTTTTTTTTTTTTGCATATCATGAGTATTATTTCTAATTTGTTGTAGTTAAATATAAAATATGACACTGTCAAATTAAATTGTACCAAGTATATCTCCGCTCAAAATCACATGCATGTTTAAAAAAACAGCAAAAAAATATGATACCCAAAATTGTAAGTAGGGGATACATTATCAAAAGAAAACTTTACAGCCCATAACTTTAGAGTTAAACGATATCTGAACCCAAAGCAAAAATGTAATATATGGCTGCTTACCCATTTTTAGATCTGGTGCCTTCATTGGTTTTCTTTCTTCAGGCTCTTTTTTTCTTTATTTTCAACTAGTGATCTAGTCAAAAAGTTTGTTAATATTGAACTTCCTTTATTAGACCACACTGTCCAGCAAAAATGACAGTTAGAGCCTTGAGACAAACCATTTAATACTGACGGGGTGCTTATACTGGTCGGCTTTTAGCTGGAGTTCAGACTTAATTTGATAGTTGAGTCCATCTAAACCTGCTAATTCATCTAACACTACTATCTCCAGATGATGGTAGTGCTGTTGTTTTAAAGGTGGCCCCATGGCTCCTCCAAGGGTGGAGCCACTCTAAGACAGGAAGCATGTTACTGGTCTTGTGAAAAAAATGGAAAGAAGCCTAAAAATATATATTTTTTTAAATCAATAATAATGCACACACCACATTTAAGGATTGGTAAGCTGCAATTTATTAATATTAATATATTTTGTTTTTGGGTTTTCATACATTTTAAACCTAAATTATGGTACTAAAATATTTATTCTACCTCTGGTGTGGCTAGGGATACCTAATATGTGTCGTGCAACAGGGGTCTACATATATAAATGTGAGTGTGTTGGGGAGAGAGTTTTTTAATTTTCAATTACATTTATATACCGTATTATCTTTTGATGCACTTTTTTTTTTTAAATTAATTTCAGTACTTTGGACAAAGTCCCTGATTTGCTGCTTACCCAGCCATTGTCATTAGGCCCCCAACCCAGAAGTGCTCAGAGGTGGGCATTTCCAAGTTAATTTGGCCTAGAGGAGATCAGTAAACTCCTGACAGGAGTTCATCCATCTCCTCCCACTCTCCATCCTATATTGCCCTGCAGAAGAGTCAAGCTCATAGACGAACCTCAAAGTGGTATCAAGAGGGATAGCAGGCTCTCTGCAGTATTGTCCTTATATGTTTTTTTTGGGTGGCTGCAAAACAATTTACGTGGAGTGCTTGGCAAAAACCTGCTGGGGTTACCACTGTGTATGAGAATTCAGCATAGTTGTTGAATTCCAATGCTTGCTCCCATCGTTTAGCGGCCATTTGTAAAAAGCAGAACCTCCATTCTACTGTTTATCATAGTATTCTTAGACTGGTGTTTTCACAGTAAAATACAAGGGTTAAGGGATGCTCCTGATTGTCATGTGATGTATCATGCCTATGTCTGAGCGTTTAATAACACTTGCCTCTTGGAATGTGAGAGGTTTGGGCGATGCTGCAAAGAGACGCTCTGTCTTGGACTGTGTCCTTCACGCTAGGCCATCTATCATCTGTCTGCAGATTTATGTTATGGCTGTGCTAAAATACCAGATTTCACCACTAGGCTGTGCCTGTGCGTACAGCACTCTGCCCTAAATGAGCTTGCATGGTAAATTGCTGGAGGGTCTAGTTTTCATACATATACCATTTAATTTCAGCTCTGAAACTCTCTTCATGAAGATGAGCTTCCCTTAATTTTATATTTTCTCATATGCACACCAGAATTGGTGACAACTGATGGCTTGTATTCATGGTAAACCAATGAAAAAAAGATGTTATTGTTCCATATAAAATGTTTGCATCAAATGCTTTACCAGGTGCTTCGGCTATTGAATTCGCCTTCACCAACAGCAAGACTGAGATCTCCTACTATGACAGCTGTTCAAAAAGACATTGCAAAGGAAGAAGAACCAGGGTCACTTAAAGGTAGGCACACCAGAGTTACTGTTTTAGTAGCGCAAAATATGTTTGCACATGCAATTTAACAGCTAGCATTCTTTCATGGGAAGATTTGTGTGTAGTAGTCTTGTGGTAAACAGGAGCACAGACATCAAGGTACTTTTCCTTTTGTGTTACATTATAAATGAATGCTGCTGTCATTACAGTCTATCTAGCCTTCTAATAAGGATTCTGAGGTACTGGGCTTCATGAAAGTAAATAAAAATGCTTATCTGTTAAGTAATACAGTACATCCAGGAATGTGTTTGTCTAAATTATGTAGAAAGTGAAAGTTGGATTGAAAAGACAAAAAAGACTTAAGATAAGTTAGAAACCACTGGGTTTAACATGATAAGGTTTTATTTTCCCACACTGTAGCAGACCAGCTAAACAGAGAGTATTCTGTGTAATAGCAGAAATCCTAGTAGAAGGGTGATTCATTTATGTTTACTTGGAAGAGAGGAGAGGAATTAGAACCTTAGTTGTTTTTTTTATTGCTGGCTATCTTTTCTATACACACAACAGGAAGTGTGAGGAAATCCAAAGAGAGGGAAATTCCCTCTGAAAGAACTGTCACTGAACCAAGTGTCCCTGTTGGAAGATGTCCTTGCTAATCCTGTTGTGGTGACAACTTACATTTTTGGATTTTTCTATCACTTTCAGTCACCAGGGCAAAACGAGAGGGTCAGAAAATATACACAGTTCCTAAAGGAGAACCCCCAAAGTTGCTGCATAAGGCCATCTGTAGATTATTTTAGATTATCAATAAATGTTATTAACAATTATTTCTACAAAATATAGCCAACATACAATGTCAACATCAACATTTTAAAATTACAACCACTACAACCAGTATGCTTTAATGATTACTATATCAAACTTCATTGTAACTAGCTTGCTGATAAAGGTACCTTATAGAGCTGCAACAGTTAATCGATTTAGTCGATTAAAATCGACGATTGAAAACGTTGGCAACGTTTTCGATCGTCGATTCGTCGGCTATCAATTGATTTGCCTGTTCGGGGCTGTTCCGGGCTCCACATGCGGCCTGAGCCACACGTCATTAGCATTATGCTCAGCAGCACCACTACTTAGACATAGAGCATTTTCAGGGGGAAGATAATATGCCTTTTAACCCTGTTCAGTGTGTAGTTCTATATCACAGCTTTACTTAAAGGAGAACTATGGGGTTAAGGCTTTTTCCCATAGTTCTCCTTAGGGTAACGGGAGGACACAAACTAGCGTCCTCCCGTCACCCTAGGCTCAGTATACCGTGAGCTGTAGCTCGCGGTTTACTGAGATGCCGCAGAGATCCGTGACAGGATCGAGGGGTGAGCGAACGCCGCTATGTGTTCGCTCACCTCCCGATCTACTGAGCCGACCTGTGACAGTCTCATTGTCACAAGTCGGCTAGAACTATGAGGTGAGTGAAAAGCACTTACCTCATAGTTCTCCTTTAACATAACGGTTGCTGGTTACTTTATTATCCAAACGTAAATTATGCTTGATTTTATCCCCAAGTTCTCCCCAACCGAGCACTTTGTTGCTGAGCTCAACACAGTTGTTATATTTATTGTGGAGTCGTGTATAGCAGCTTTACTTTTATGTTATCCACTGGTTAATTTTTTTTGTAAATTATTTGTTTATTGAAAAATAAGAATCGGAAACATACAAGATGTGAAATAAAAGTATTACATCAAACCATAATACAAAGAAGTGAATACAGATACTACCATTAAAAAAAAAAACATTCAGAAAAAAGTTAACGGTCATAATGCAAAGAAGATAAAGTACAGCATATTGTTAGCAGAATACTGCACCCACAATTATAACCAGAAAACAAAGCTCTGGAGAAAATGAAAAGTCCATAAAAGCAATATTGCAATGAAACAGTAATACCAATATGCTAATGAATAGTATTGATGAGTGTGAACCCCCCATCCCCCACTACCTGAAACTAATACCAACAGCCAAACCCCCAAATACCGGGAGAACCCAAGTGGTGAAGAGGAGGCCCTACATAAGTGTGGTATCTCCTAGGACGGGAGGAAGTAAAGAAGAGACAGAAAAAGAAAAGCACCAAAAAAACAGAAAATAGAGAAACAGCCAGGATAGATTCCCCAGGATCCCGCGCCGGACCCCACCACAGACAACCCCTCAACGAGATGAGAAGGAAACCAATGCATCAGACAGAAACTCCTGAGAGTACGCAGAGGACAGTTTGTAATGAAACCACGGCATCCAAGTGGATCAAAACGTCTCCTCAGTATTGTCCAAATAAGCTGTCAAGTCTTCCATAGGATAAATGTCATCCACCACCGAAAACAATAAAAGCAATGTAGGAGGTTTAGCCTGCCTCCATGTCAACGGAATGCAGGACCTTGCTGCGTTAATTAAGTGGATTGTCATTGATTCTTTATATCGCTTAAGAAAGGAGAAGGGCACATGCAAAAGAAAGCCTGCAGGGTCATTAGGCAGGGGAGTGATAACTAACTGATATATCACCGAGCGCACAGAACCGCAAAAATGGCGCAGAGCGAGCAATACCAAAAAACATGTTCCATGGTACCCATGGCCAAACCACATTTCCAACAGGTAGAGGGGACAGATCTGTCCATTTTAAGTAAAACGTAGGGGACCCTATACCAGCGTGTCAATATCTTGTAACCCTGCTCCTGGTTCCTACTCGCCATAGAGGACCTGTGGGACAGGCCCATTCGTCTCTGTTGGTCTGTGAAGGACCTACCCAACTCAGCTTCCCACTTCCTTAGGAACGGCAGACAAAAAGTTTCAGAGGGGGCATATAGAAGCTTATATAACCTCGACAAAAATGCCAAACAGGTTCGCCCTTATGGCACACCGACTCAAAGGCCGTTAGACGTCTCGACAACACCTGCAACCCAGGGACAGAAAGGAAAAAATGTCTGATTTGATACGCGCTCCGGTCATCTAAAGGCTGGGAAAGCAAGTGCCAAATCGCCTCCTGCGACCTCCGTGTCCCATCCACAATGAAGTCCATCATATGAAACATGCGCACTGACAACAAGCGCGAACATTATCATTATCCAACAGCCGAGGGAAGTCAGGACCCCCTATCAGAGGCGTCAGAGGAGAAGGGAAATGGAAAATATCATAGGACTTAAGAGATGCCCTAGAGGTCTGTATCGTAGGAACAATTGTGGGATGTGACAAAACCACAGAGGGAATTGGAGAAGAAAGCCACACAAGCCAACAGGGGCTCGAGATTCCAAGAGTTCCATGAACAGCCATCTCTTGTATTGAGAGTGGCAGCACCAGTCCACCAGATGATTAAGATGGAATGCCCTATAATACTGCCAGATATATCCGGGAGACCAACTCCTCACTCCACTTGGGAAGGATCAAGAGACGATACGCCAATCGGGGATGTCTGCGTGCCCACACGAACCAATTGAATTACCGTTGGATTTGGAAAAAGAAGTGCAAAGGCAATCTATTTGGAAAAGCTTCCAGCATGTAAAGCATCCTTGGAAGCACCGTCACTTGGAGAGCAGCACAGTGTCCAAACCAGGTTAAGGTAAGTTCCTGCCATTAAGACATATCCCCCCTGGCCTTAGACAGTAATGGAGCAAAATTATCTGCAAACTGTGACAAATCTGCGGAAATATGCATGCCCAAATACTTGATGTATTGTGACGCCCATCGAAAGGGGAAAAACTCCTTAAGCTGATCTAGGACGGGAGTGGGCAAAGACATATTAAGTGCCTCTAACTTGGAAGGGTTCATCAAAAAATTTTAAAGACCTCCATAGACTTCGAAGGCTCACTGGTTACTTATTAACCCAGACATGGATTGTACTTCATTGTATTCAGATTTTCTGCAAAGCATTTTAACACTGAGTTCAATGCAGTTCATTATGTGTCTTGCAAACAGATCTGCAACCAGATCCACACTCAGATTGTAAAGTCTTGCCATCATCCCTCTTACCACTCTTTCACATAAAGTAATTTCTTTGTGCTTTCCTATACTTTTCTGGAACTCTTCTCATTTTCAAGTCCAGTGAACTCTGGTCTGTCGCCAAGTGAGAGATCACATCTTAGTAATGAGCAGACTTAATAGGAGGGGAGAAGAACAGTAGTAACATTTTAAAAACGTGGTGCCGCCCGCCCCCCCACTCCCCCCCTAGAAAATCAGAGTCCCTCCATTTCACATCAGAAGCCCCCCTATATATCAGAAGCTTCCACTTCACATCAGGAGCCCCCACAACATAGTGCCCATCTTTATTGAAAATTTAAAGGCACCCCTGACAAAGTCAGAAGGTTCCCAGGGTGCCACAGCACCCTGGTTTAGAAAGGCTGCCTTAGATGTATTGGCTACATTGTTTTCTTTTTTTCATGTCTTTTTCCCTTAGTGGTCCTGCCAGAAACAAACTTCACACTTACAGTGCAGTGAGTGTTGTCACCCTATCTATTGAGCGTTCTCACCTTTTGGTTGCTCTTCTGATTTGGACTATAAAACACCTCTCCTTCTCCTCATCTGCATTACATAGAGGGGAGGTGTGCAAGAGTTCATAAATGTTAGCTTGGCAAGCTGATGTGATCTATTGTTTTAGATTTTAGTTTAGTGCACAGGAAGTTACGATTTAATAGTGACAGGTTCAACAGGTATTTTCGGCATTTGGAAGATGTTCCTAACCTGCAAAAAAACAAAATGAATGCTGCCACCACATCTAAGGACTAGTAAGCTGAAATATATTACATTTTTGTCTTTCACTAAAATATCCCAGGTAGCACCGTCAATGGAGCTTACAATCTAAGGAGCTTAAAATCTAAGGTTCCTATCTCACATGCACACATACTAGGGCCAGTGAATCTACCACAATGTATATGAAGTGTGAGAGGAAATCAGATTACCCAGAGAAAGCCCACACAAGCACAGAGAGAACATACAAACTCAATGCACATACAGGTGAAACTCGAATAATTAGAATATTGTGCAAAGTTCATTTA